CGAGGTATTACGGGACTAGGAATGAGCCTTCCCCATCACACATCTGAGCTTCTGTCTCTCCCTGGTGGTGCCACCTATACATGATTTGGGGAATTCTGAAGGCCAGTGAATCCCAACCTGGGACACAAACTCTGAGGTGACTCCAGACCAAAGCTGACAGCTGTCCTTAGTCTCTGTGAGGACTGGGCTCCCTGCACCAGCCTGGGAGAGTCCTTCTGCACCATGCAAGGGACTGCACCATCCAAGGTTGCTGGACTAAGGGTGGATGGCTGTCAGGTGCCCATGGCGTCAGGTACGCATGATGACACACACCTCTCACAGCCAACACAGACACAGCATTGTGTTGAACTGGGTGTGAGGGCCCCGTTCCAGCAGGAGCCAGCAGCCCACCTTCTTCATGAGGGCATTCTTTGTACCTGACAGCTGGCCCAAAAGATTGCCATTAATCCTCCGTGTGCTCGCTCCCCGCAATAAACCGTGTATTATAAACTCACAGCTTGGGTAATGTGGTGTTTTCGGCGTGCCATTGCATAGCCCTGCAGTGAGCTACACGGCACCGGATCTCCTTACCTGCCCCCCACCCGGCCTAGCCTGGAGACATTGCGTCACATTCCTGTTTCTGGCACAGGAGACAGAGCAGAGCCCGCACAGCCTGGACTTCTGCACAGCACATGTTCTTTCTATTTCCTGGCTAATAGGAAGCAAGAGGCCCCGTCCTAAAAGACCCTCAGCTCCACATGAGAGATGCAGACGACACAGGCAGCCTTGAGACGTGTAGGAATTCATGGATACTCTGAGGGGTGATATGTGACATCAGTTGAGGAGGTAGCCGTGGGGAACCTCAGAAAAGGGCCAACAAAATATGACTCTTGGTTCTGCCAAAGGCGTAGGCCACTCTGGCTCCAAGCAGCCCTAGCTGTTCTGAGTGACCACCCAATCATCAATGGCCTCCATCTTTGAACGGCATGTGACCCAGCCGCCTCCATCAGAGATGGATGTGTCAAGTGTGGGACCGTGACAGTGACCTCAGGGCAGGGATCAGGCTTACCACCCCAGGGTCAGCGGGTGCTAGGAGGAAACACTGTGCCTTCTTTCCCTTTGTGTGGAACTGTGTGCCCCCCCCAAACACCGAGCTGGGGTCTAGCTTTGAGGATAAAGGACCTGGATATAAGATAGTGTTATTGGAATGGTAGTTCCCAAGCCTCTGTCTCCGTCTGTCCAATCAAACAGGCTACATCCCCAGGGTGGATATAGTTCGTGTGGCAGTTCTTGAATGACACTGATGCCGCGGTCCCAGGTGGTTAGAAAGAAAGAGACAGTGGCCAGAGTGGAAAAGAGGTCGCAGTGAGGTGTTGGTCCCCAAAAGAGACTGCATAGGCTCCACCCCCAAGTCCCCATCCTGGTCCACTCTACCCCTCCAGAGATAGAAGCCTGAGAGTCGGACTGAGACTATCAGGACTCGTGTTCCTTGTAGGCAAGCAATCTTTTACATTCTTCTTGTCCAAGCGACCGAATCCCAGGAAAACTCTGAGGTGGTCAGCAAGATGCCGTGCCGCCGGTTCAGGGCTGAGGTAGTTTCAACAGGTCCTGACAACAGACTCTACAGGGCTCCCCAGAGCCTGGCCTCTGGATGGCTGGCCCAGGTCCAGCCCACGCTCACTGTCCCTGCCCCTCTGTGGCAGGTAAATTACATTCTCTGGCATTTACTGGGCAGCTGTGTTTGGGACTGTGCCTTTCATGTCATGCTGGGCAGTTGGGGCTGCTTTTGCAGACCTTATAGGCTGCTTTATGGGAGAGTCGCACTGGCCTTGGGACCTGGCTGGGGACCCAGTGACATGGACAGAGAGCAGTTCAGTCTGGAAATAATTCCACCTTCTAGTCATGAACTTTAAAAAAAAGACGAACTCTGAAAATGACCAGTCTCATTTAGAATTGAGCCTTCATGTACAGATAGGGGCTTTGAATGGGGCCACTCCTACCCAGGAGCCTTCTTGCTGGTCTAGTTGCATTCTCAGCAACATCGGTACCTGTTTCAGGTTAGGCCTGTGCTCACAGAGACTGGCTGGATACGTTTCTGCCTCCAGGTGCCTCTCAGGGCCTGTCTTCTACCTGTTTCTTGCCAGTTCTGCATTTACAGCATGGTTGAGCCAGCTGGACTGCTACTGGGTGGGGGTCGTTCCTAAAGCACGGCTTACCCCCACAGAGCTGTCTAGACGGGATCGTGCCTGGAGCGGAGTTAGTACCTGAATAACACATTTCACTGCGAGCTGGAGAACCCAGATGGCCAGGGCTTCCTGCTCCTCGGCAGCTCCTGGGAGAAGCCGTCCTTAGGAAGGGTGGGATCCACCGCTGATTTCATATATTCGACTTTCTAATGTCAGAGGGATGGGTTTCCCTTCCTTCCGTTTTTTGTTAAATGCCAGGATGTCCGTGTCCGCCGTTGTTTTTTGTTCCTAGCAGAGCCTCCCAGCCTACAAAGCAGTTGAGGAACCTGCTGAGAAAGGAGCCTGTTACCTGCCTGAGCCTGGGATTTCCCTGGCCTAGGCGAGAGGACAGATAGGATGGCTGTTGAGTTGAATTAGGTCTTCACCCCGAGGCTTCTCTAGGAAGCTCTGTGTGTGAGGAGTACTTGCCTTGAAGATCCTGTTCCTTGTGGGTCCCTCTGCCACCAGACAGAGACATCTAATGACCACACGAATAGGGAGGATAATGGGAAGGACTGGAGAGGAGCTCTTCCATGTCCCATGCTGATCAAGCCACCAAGTGCCTACCTACAGGCAATCTGGAGCCCGAGGCACTTCCATCTCAACACGTGTCTGGTCTTCTTATGTGACTAGATTCCCGCCCCTATCCAAGGGTCCCTTCCTCCTTGCCATCCTGGGGTGGCTTGAAGGTCAACCCTGGATTCCAGGCAGGTGAACTTTTATAGATCTTGTCAGGAGGCCACCCATAAAGCCCACTGCCAGGCCCCCATGTCCCCTCTCTGTCATGTCTGACTCACAGGACATGTTGGCAGCACATGGACCACCTCCCCATTCTCTCATGTGACCGACTCTGACCTCTGACTCGTGGCTAGTCACCCTGGCATCATATGTATGTAGTATCTCTGGCATGAATCCAGTGCAAGCAACCTGGTTTCCAGAGTCCTGGTGAGCCCATGGCAAGCTGTCATGGGCAGGGGACCCACAGCCTCTTGGAAGATGGTTGGGATACCACATGAAGGTCAACTCTCCGTTAGCTGTCGGTGGACAAGTCACACTCTATTAATGAGCCACGTGGGATCATCCTGGGGTCACACCTAGGGACACATGAAGAATCCAGACCTGGAGAACCCAGTGCTACGTCAGCCAAGCTTGACTTCTGGGCTGAACACAAGCATCTCAAACCGATAGTCTGAGTAGCACGAACCACTGTTGTCGCCTCAGATGGAATGTCTGAACGTCAGCGTCTCCTGAGACTCAGCTGCTGTCTCATCCGCTCAAGCCGGGAGAAGTCTTCGAGACTAGAGTGAATGAAAACCGAATGAGGGAACTGTGGCAGCCAACGGTTCTATTGCTTTCTAGAGGCTGAGCCACTGGCGTTGAGTGCCGTGCAGACTTACTGCCGGGTGAGGAGGGAGCACCTAGACCAGAAAACCACAACCTACCCCAGCCCACGTCTAGGGCAGAACCTCCAGGCCTCCAGTGAGGGCTGTGCTGTGAGGGAGGCTGCCCTTCCCAGGAAGCTCCCAGTGGAGCCAGGCTTCAGAAGAGCTGCACGTTCATCCCTCACAGCAGCTGGTGGCGCAGAGGCCAGGCTCTAACGAAGAACACATGTACATTCCCGCTGGCGCAGACCGTGGCTAAAGACTTTTCCCTCAAAATGCAAATATGCTTTTATTTATTCACAGAGAAGCCGGGCCTCCCTTTGCGGCACGTGTGTTTGTATGTGGAGTGTGTGCGCCTCTTGAAGAGGCCACAGTGGTTGGGCAGTCCCTAGGTGGCTGACCTGCTGCCAGACCCAGCCATGCGTAGCATGTGAAGAGGTGAGATAGAATAGAGAATTATGCGAGTGTCCATCATGCACACGACTTATGCAGCACAGTGCTGCTGGGGCGGGGGTCACCAGAAAAGTATCCCCATCACGCAGATGGGTCTCTGATGGAAGAGGTGGACTAGCAAGAGAACAGTGGCCAGGAAACAAACGGGGACAGTAGGACCCCAGGGTCTGTGTGCCACCTCTTTCCCTGCCCGTGACCTTTGCTCCTAACCTGTAGAAATTCAGGCCCTGAGGAGAAGCCCCGCATCTGCTCTGGGGCTAGTTCCAGGCCACTGAGGTTACCTGTCTCTGTGGCTCTTGCCAGAACTGGAAGCCTCCTTGCTAAAAGTAGAGAGGGAGAACCGGGAGGCCCTGCTCGGGGCTGTGGGGTCTCCTGGGGCTGCGGGGTTTCCTGGGGCTGCCAGGTCTCCTGGGGCTGGCTAGCTGCAGAGTCTTCACTTGCGTGTGGGAACCAGAAGGCGTGCATGGGAGACGTGGTGCCCTTGCCCAGAGTGCACAGTGTCCTTCTCTCTTAGCGTCTACCGGCTTCTTGAAGATCTCAGATGGCCATCCGCCTCTGGATGCTCACGGAAGCCAACTCAGTGCTGCTCGATTTCCACACTGACAGACTCACTAGAGCTGTCAGTAGCAGCATTGCGGCAATACCCAAGCTGAAGTTTTCACTTTGATTGCTACAAATCCATGGGCCCTCGGGCCCAAAGCTCCCACTGCCATTTGCAAATGGATTTTTATAGCATGCTAGTGCTGGGGGAAATTCCAAGGAAAATAGTCCTCTTCGTATTAGAACCAGCTGTGAGTTTCTCAGCCAGTGACTCACCCTGTTTTTTAATTGGGTGGGAGAACCGGCAGAGACAGAGGGGCTCAGTCAGGACGCTGTTTGTTTTGCACGGGGTATCCTAGCCACAGCCTAGCCTACCCATCTACAACTTAGGTTTATTTAACTTGCTCTTTCCTTCTCACAGTTCCAATTATAAAGACAGAACCCACGGACGACTTTGAGCCAGCTCTGACCTGTGGACCAATGAGCCAGGGACTTAGTCCTTTGCCGAGGCCCTACTATAGCCAACAGCTCACCATGCCTCCCAACCCCGGCTCCTGCCTCGTGGCTGGCTTTGCCCCCTGCTCACAGAGGAGCACACTGATGACCACGCCTCCCAACGCAAGCCCGAAGCTCCATGACCTCTCTTCCACTGCCTACACCAAGGGCCTCACCAGCCCAGGCCACAGTGGTCACCTCGGACTTCAGCCACCGGCTCCGGAGGTCCCCACCATGCAGGAAGTGCCGAGACCCATGGCTGTGCAGCCCAACTCGCCTGAGCAGCCCCCGCCCGCCCGGCTGCAGCCGCAGGTGAGTCCACATGTGAACAGTAGCTGTCCCCTTGGTTGCCAACAAGTCCTCTGTCCCAACAGCCCCTCTTCTCCACTTCCGCCTGCTGCCCACGAGCCAGCCTGCTTACAGCCCTCAGCCCTCCCTCCTGATGTGGGCCACCAGCAACAACAACCGCAGAAGGTTCAAAGAAATGAGTCTCCAGCCGCACTGCCAGAGGTGCGTGAGGACAGTGATCCTAATTTGGCCCCTATTCCTGTAGTGATCAAGCAAGAGCCCGAGGAATTGGACCAGTTATACCTGGACGATGGTAAGTGCCTGCAGCCGAGCAGGTGTGTGCACAGCCATTGAGTTTGGGAAGGAAGGGGTGACATGGGTGGAAGACAGTCCCCATGTTGTGCCGTGCAGAACAGTCTCCAGCCAGCAGGCTGCACGTCAATGATTTTGCTCTGGTAATCTTGGCAACCCCAGCCTGAGTATGGTTCCAACTTGAGACTCGGATTTGGTGTGAAAAGTGAAGCGAATAGCTGTCCAGGTCACCCTCAGAAAGTCACATCAGAAAAGGCCTGTTGTGGAGTGAGGTCTTTGTGGTTCGAGCACCTATAAGCGTCCTAGAGAAGCGTGTCTAAGTCAATGCCCAGTTCAGGGCAATGGTACTGTGGGCAGCCAAGTACAGATGTTCAAATGTGACAGCGGTGTCGCGAGCCCAGAGGTTGGGAGCAATGCCAAGGTGGCATCTCCTTCTGGGACAGTATGGCTTGCTCTGGGCATAGGGACATACTGGCTGTAATGTGTCTAGCTGTGCCCAGGCTGCGTGTGGTGGCACAGGATTGCTGAACATGAGCGTGACCAGGTGTGTCTCTGTTGCTCTGTGCGCGTTTGTAGCTCTCTCTTTAACACCTTGCTGCTGTTCCTGTCAAGTGATAATTCCTGACCACGTGACTGCCACAGTGGCCAGACATGTGACTGATACACTGCCCACTGGGACTGGGTTCAGCGGTGTTTTCCAGCTTGTTCAGATAGTTTGTGGGTGTTGGGGCCCCCTCTGAGGCCAGCTGGTCTCCCCAGATGTGGGCTGTTTCCCAGGCCAGGTGCAGAGCTGTACATCTGGAATAGGTCCAGCTCCTTGCTGCACCTGGAGTCAGGTGAGGCCCGGGACTATGCCAGGGCTTGCTCAGCTCCCGATCTCTGAGGATGAGGCCTCGCAGCCTCTCCGTCATTCTTCTTCGTGCTTCTTTCTGCGAGCCGGACGCTCCTTCTCTTTCAAGGGAAACTTCGAGAGGAACATCTGAAAGAGGGTACTGGGTCCCAGGTTCTACACCTTCTTGATACCTCAGGTGTGGGGTGAGCTGGATTAGGGATGAGGGAATATTCCAAGCTCCCTGTGAACAGGCCCAGTGTTGGCCTCTGGGCACTTGGTTGACAAGGATCTTATGTTCAGAGTTGTAAAACTTCTTGCTGAACATTTCTCTCCAAATTCATAACTTAAAGCTTTGGGGGAATGATTCATGCAAAATTTTTCTCAAAAATATGTTCAGTTCTTGAACCTAGAACCCAGTGTCCCGCTCCATGGTACATCTATTAGCCGTGTTCATCTGCCCCGAATAAGCCCTCATAGACTCCTGAGAGCGTCCCGGCCTCGCTGATCTCTTCTCTTTGGATTCAGTGGAGGACTGTTGCTGCTCTTATCTACTTCCTCCGCACCGCTCTACTTACACGTCACTCAGGGCTAGGATCACAGCGATGGTACCCAGTGCAGCCTGAGGATTCTGCTTGTGTTCCTCGTACCTGCCCAGGTGGACCCTGTGGCCAGGGTGGGCTCTGGCGTCTGTGTCGAGAGTCCCACCTTCTACTTGGCCTCGGCGAGTGTTGGTGTAAGCCTGTGGGATCACTGTCATCTGGTCAGAAGCAGCGTGACCGACCAGCCCAGGACTCCCACATCTGGGCAGTGCCCTCTGGCCCAGAGACAGGAAGTCGGTCTTAACCAGGCTTCCCTCTGACCCAGAGGCCAGCATAGCCTACGTCAGACAGGGCTTTGTTGTGGGCATGGAATGAGAGCAGGTGAGCCTTCAGGGAGGGGAGGACGCTGTGTCCAGGAAGCGACACAGCCCAACTCGGGACTAGGGCTGCCCACACATGACATGGGACGTATTTTGTTAAATTTTACTGTGTCCCCGAGAGAACATTTCAAGAGTCTCACATGTTGGGGTGCAAAAAAAGAGGTGCTGATTTAGAAAACAGGAAACCTCTACAGGAAATGAAGGTGGAGAAGAGGAGCCGAGAATTGGGCATGGGTACCTGTCCTGGGTACTGTGTCTTTGCCAGGGGGGTCTTAGTTTAAATTCCCCAGGGAAGGAACAAAGAGAGAGCAGAAACCACCACAGAATCTAATTCGGAAAGCCAGATTCCATTTTTCCCAAACCCCCTATTTAAAGGCAGTCAGTCACCAATTTACCCAACAGGGAGAGGTACACGCGGAAAGAAAGGAAGGCTCAGGGTGTAATCACCTCCCGGCCATTAGCTTGGACCCCTGGGACATGTGAGAAGGTCAGGCTCCAGGCTCCTGCCCTCTCCTGGAATCTCTCTCTTCAGCTAGCAGAAGACACTCACCTCTCTCCAGAGTGCTGTTGGGTCTCCCAGTACAGAGTCACTATTGGGAGGAGCACAGGGACGAACTGGTGACCTGGAGGTTCCTGAGCTGCATAGTATGAACAGTGAACAGTCTAGGAAGGTTGACTGACTTACAGACAGCCCTTCAGCACTTAAGAACCTCCTTTAATATGTCTGTGGGCTTCAGGGGTTCATGCCAAGCTGTGCTATGGCTGCCCCGCCTGAGAGGGAGGAGGTAGGGAGGGGATCTTGCTCACATGCTGGTTCTCACGTGGTTTTTGGCATTTTGATTTTGCCTTCCGAGAACATGGAAAAGGCAGTACTAAAATATGAACTCTGGTCATTGAGAGCCAGCAGCACTCCATACGCACAAATTCTCGGTACTGGCATCATGAGGATGCTGGGAAGTTAGTGCCTACGCCAACAGCACTTGGTGTGCCCCACGTCATTGGGTCTGCAGAGCCACACAGGAGAATTTTCAGGGCGGCACACTTCCCAAATGTCTCCTTACCTAAGGAGTAAATTAAATTATGGATAGAAAACCAATCCCACCTTTTCCAGGGGTCTTTTTCATTTCCACTCTGAAGTTTTGCTGAAAATGTATTTGGCCTGTTCATAAGCCTCGGTGGTAATTTCTTTGTCCTGACACTCTGAATAAGACTTGGGCTTTTCATTTGAACTGCTATGGTTAGGTTTTGGAAGGTGTCAGCACTGTGGCTCTCACGTGATTTGAAATGCAGACCTTTAGACGGTCCCACCGAAGCCGCACATTGACTGTGTCTGTAGCGTTTGCTTACACTGCCTGTCACGGGACTGAGCCGTGTGACGATGTTCCTGTTGGAATGAGTTCTCTCGGTCGCGTGTGTGTGAACGCCCCCCTTGCACACAAAGCTCCTGCTTCAAGTACATCTGGAAACTCCTAAAATACCACGATGCATATAGGGTTTGTTCCCACATCTGTGCAGATGAGACCCTGGCACGGAACTGCACTGGTGCCATGCAGCCAGCCTGCTTCAGGTTCTTTGACTGAAGCAGCCTAGAGGCCTTAGCCTCTTGGTCTGTTGCTGTACCGCCCACCCCATACACACACTTCTGGTGACCACCCTGCGGCCTCGGCCACAATCAAGCCTTTCAGCCCTGTCGGTGGCTGCTGGGTGTCCAGAAGTCTAGATGTCATTAAAACAACAAGCAGGTAGACCAGACAGCCCAGCCGGGTCTGTCGGCTGGCTGAGTTTCTTCGCCCTCCCCTTCTTTCCTGAGCTTAAGCTGCTCTGGAAGAGAACAAAAAGCTTTCCTCATGGAAAGTTTGACTAAGCTGGCAGCCCGCCCAGACCCAAGCCTTCCCCGTTGCTAGCAATGATGGCAGGAGCCTGTATACAGCGATCAAACACACCAAGTCATGAATACGGCGGACACAGGCCACCCCATGACAGATAGGAGAAAGAATTCAGCCATGCATCCATCTCGTCAAGCCAATGCTCCATGCCCTGGGGTGCCTGCCCGTGAACTGGGAGGCACAGAAGTTATACCGCACACCACCAGTGTCGGCGACTGCCGTAGGCAGTGTCAACCAGCGGGCTGCTTAAGTAGCTCGCTGGAGTCCCCAAGGGAGGGATCTCCCAACATTCATGAGTTCACCAGGCCCAGGCCTGTAGCTGCTGCGTGGTGGAGTTTCTAACTGCTCCCTGCAGGGCGAGCGAACCACAAAAGGCTGTTTTCCAAGCCTTCGTGTACACCACAGGGCGTCAGGAAAGCAGACTTTGGCTTAAATCTTTCAGTTTGTATCTAGACGCGCGCCTGTAGAGCAGCACTGAGTGTCAGGCGGCCGCGACTAGGAGACTTGCTGGGAAGGACGAGGGGTTAGTGTGTGCTCTGAGTCAGAGAGAGGCAGAGCTTGGGCGCAGACCTTCTGCCGTCTGGGAGCTCTCTGTCCCTTCCAGGCAGGCAGGTCCAGCAAGTGGAGAGGATCCTCGGCTTCTAAAAGGGGTGTGTTTGGCCACCCCCGGTCAGTCCTGGTGCTGCTGCTGCAGGCTGGCTGCCTCTGATTTCCAGTGTCACCATGTGAATCTCTGCTTTCGACACGGCAGGAGGGCGGGAGGGCCGTCACCCCGCACAGGTGCTGCATGAGGGGCTGGAGCGGAGGTCTTCTGCCTCAGCCCTGCCTCCAGTGACATAGCTTAGATGGTATATCCTACATGGAAAGAACTTGGGGTTACCCTGGATTTTAACTGTGGTGTCCCTACAGTCCCATATAGACTACTTACCAGGCGGGAAATTTGAATATATCACTATCAGCCTTTATTAACAGTCTACCAAGCTTTCTTCTTTAAATGAAGAGTTTGTGGCATTGTAATTTGAAGTAAGACTATAGGGTAGGGGAAAAAAAGCTAAAGGCAAGAGCTAGAAAGGCTTCGTGGGCCTCGAGAGTATGCTAGTTAGTGTCAAAGATCTTTCAGAAATTCAAGGCCAGGAGGATGCTCAGACGTAACTTTGAGGTGGCTGTGTGGGCGTGTTTGTGGCACTTCTGTTTCTCATAGGCAAACACTAAACAGCAGCCGTGTGTTCTGTGAGTGTGCAGGCAGTCTTCTCATATGGAAATGCCCCTTTCTCCTCTAGACGGGTTAAAATCCTCCCAGAGCATCCTAAGGGCATTTCTCCACCTCTGTTGGCTTATACAGCAGCGCTCTGCCATCCGGGTCG